CCACGCGTTGCATTTTTGTGGCTTCAGCTTCCTCCTCCTCTGTGGTCCCCGTCCCAGGAACCTTTTCTTGGCCCCTTGTCCCCAGAGGCAAGCCTCGAAGGGGCATGCTGCGACGAGCCGTCTTCTCAGACCTCCAGAGAAAGGCCCTGGAGAGAACTTTCCAGAAGCAGAAATACATCAGCAAACCAGACAGGAAGAAGTTGGCCAGTAAACTGGGACTCAAAGACTCACAGGTGCATATAGTGGCAAAGGCTACTCTGTGCTTATGATTAATAGTAATATTTCTTGTTTACACATCCTCGAACCTCCTTACATGCAGATTTGCTCCACTGATGAAAATATTCCAAAATTAACTCACGTAGATTTTTTTTTTCTTTATCGGGTATGAGAACAGGCGATAAAATAAGGTAATTTCTCACTTCAGACGAAGATTTTTTTTATACCATCTGTTTATTAATTGTGCCTGGATCTGCAACTAAACATAATTGGATGTTGTTTTATTGGGCGAGGAGCCATAGTTGGTCACGTAACCTCAAGTTTACATCAATGCTTAACTCGTAACTTTGAGGCAGAAGGAAGCAAGGAAAAAAAAATGTATTTTTTTTTTTTTGTGGCATTGTGATGCTATTTTATTTAAATGGATGTGTTGGGCGGCACGCTGGTTAGCACTGGTTAGCACGTCTGCCTGATAGTGCAGAAGTGCAGGGTTCGATTCCGGCGCCGGCCTTCCTGTGTAGAGTTTTCTCTTGGTACTCTTTTTTTTTTTTTGTGGCATTGTGATGCTATTTTATTTAAATGGATGTGTTGGGCGGCACGCTGGTTAGCACTGGTTAGCACGTCTGCCTGATAGTGCAGAAGTGCAGGGTTCGATTCCGGCGCCGGCCTTCCTGTGTAGAGTTTTCTCTTGGTACTCCGGTTTCCTCCCACATTCCATAACGTGCACAGTAGGTTAATTGACCACTGTAAATTGTTCCAAAATGTGAGTGTGAGCGCGAATGGTAGTTCGTCTCTGTGATCCCTGCGATTGGCTGGCAACCGGTTCAGGGTGTCCCCGTCTTACTGCCCAAACACAGCTGGGATAGGCTTCAAGCACGCCTTGTGAGGATAAGCGTTTCAGATAGTTGATACATCGATGTGTGTTTACTTCTTACATACTATACTTGGTTTGTAAAATAAATACGTTGTTGAATTCACTAATTCAAATCAGAGGGTCTTCCGTGTCTGAAATGGAAGTATTCTTGAGTCTGTCAGGTAATAATAGGTTTTGGCGAAAGGACAATGTTGCTTTCGTCAATACTATCAGGGACTTCCACAATATTGACAGGGTTAAGTACTAAAAATAGACAAATTTGACTAAAACGTATCTAAAACAATCGTGGACAATTTTGACTATAATTTTTGACTAGAATAAGAATACAATTAAAAGGCTCAGACTTTTAGTTGACTAAAATTTGACTTTGCTAAAAAGAGTATGACATTGATTAAAAGTAATAAAACTTAAAATGACAGCTTGACACAAAGAGTAGACTAAAATTTAAACAGGCCACCAAAAACAGCACTAGTTGACGTTGCCTTGGCCACCGATGGCGCCTGCCAGATTCAACAACCAACCTGGCTTTTTGCTTGTTTGTCCCCATAGGTGAAGATCTGGTTTCAGAACCGGAGGATGAAATGGAGGAACTCAAAAGAAAGGGAGCTCCTGTCAACAGGGGGTTGCCGTCAGCAGACCCTTCCCACCAAAACCAACCCTCACCCAGACCTCACAGATGTGGGCAGCACCTACTGCCACAGTGGGCTGGAGAGGACTGCGGCTACTAGTCAGGCACAGTTGGAGAGCCAGGAGTCACATCTGCCCCATCGTCATCATCATCACCGTCATCATCATCACCACCATCGCTCCTCTCCGTCAGAGTCCAGTAAACAATCAGAGTCAGAGAGTGAAGAAATCACGGTTTCATAAGAACATGATTGAAAAAGATGCATTCTTTGCACTACAGTTGCCTTTGAGTGTCAGTTTGACGGGATGATGAAAGGTGAAAACCACAAGTACTTTTTTTGGTGGTTTTGTGAATTGCCTGCATTCGATCAGCGTCTAATCTCTATTTCTGTACAGTGTTTTGTATATGACTTTTTATATTTAGTTCAATATTTTGTGTACACATTGTAAAATATTTACTGAGCAACTTTAGATTGACTATGTGTATTAGACTCTATTTTTTAACTCCTAAAGATACAGTACAATTCTTTCAGCAGACTATATTTGTTATCTTTATTTTCGTAAATAAATCTTTAAAAACTCCAATAATGTCATGGATTACTTTACCTCAACAATTTTTAATCCAAACACTAAATTTTCCTGTCATTTTCCTCATGATATGGAGTGTTATTGTTCCTCTTTTGTGTGTGTCGGGCCGTCTGGAACAGATGAATGCATTTCCATTCATTTCAGTGGGGAAAGATGGTTTGAAATCCGAGTATTTTGATTTACGGGTGTGGTCATGGGACAAATTTGACACGTTTCAAAAGCACCACTGTGTTGGAGGAGTTAAGCGAGAACGGGCAGTTGCCAATAGTCTCCTATGCAATAGTGCAGTAATTTTACCAATAGATAGCGCTATTGCTCTCTCATTTCTACTTGTCGTGAGGGATGCACAATTTGAGGCAAGGCTGGCTGAAAAATGAAATAAATTAACACAGTAATTAAATACGTCCTGAAGTATTGAATCATGTCCATATTTATTTACATCAAAGGTATTGGTTTTAATATTTATTTGGATTTGCATTTAATTATGTTGATGTTTACGTGTTTCACTATTTCTATTACTCTTTCATTTTATTGCCCTTGTCCTCTGTACATCATGAAAACATGCAAGCTGTCATTTTCGAGCTTGCTTGGGCCCAAGAGAACTCCATCCATCCATCCATCCAGTTTCTGATCTACTTAATCCTCACAAGGGTCGCGGGGCGTGCTGGAGCCTATCCCAGCCATCTTCGGGCAGTAGGCGGGGGACACCCTGAACCAGTTGCCAGCCAATCGCAGGGTACACACAGACAAACAACCATCCACGCTCACACCCACATCTCAGGACAATTTAGAACAGGGGTGGCAAACTCATTTCACATTGTGGGCCACATACGGCCTCGGTAGATGTCAAGTGGGCCGGACCATTAAAAATTCTACCATACTCTGCTATAAATAACCAAAATAATATGTCTTCACTTTCTTTTGATCTAAAGAAGCACAAAAACATTAGGAAAATGTTGAAATTTAATGAACATATCTTTTACAAAAGATTTCATGAAGCACCTTAGATTTCCTTAGACAAATGTGCAATTTACTTTTATCATTCACATATATGCATTGCAACTGATCCCACTAATTGTACAAAGGCACAAAACTTTAACAAGTAATTGGTATTGAAAAATGTAGTAATGCATTTTAAGATTAAACGAGATTTATTAAGAGAGCAATTTTTAAACCATTTACACATGTGCATATAAAATCTAAATTTAATCCCTGCCTACACCTTACAAACTAAAGAGAGCACTATTAAATGTGTAAAGACTAAAGTATTCACATGTCCTTGATAGCGTCTGTTGTGTTGGGTCTGTCTCAGTGACAGACTGAGACTGCGGTTGTCTCCTTCCCTGATCAAAACAATTTTATCTTCTACTCTGATCAAAACAGTGCGTTTCCTAGCGGATACTCCACGAATTGCACCTTATTAAAAATATTAATTCCGAGTCTTTTATGCATTTTTTTCACTTAAAAATGATACTGTGGGCCTGATCGAACCTCCTTGGGGGCTGGTTCCGGCCCGCAGGCTGTATGTTTGCCCTCCCCTTGATTTAGAGTGTTCAATCAGCCTGCCGTGCATGTTTTTGGAATTTCCGAGGAAACAAGGAGGCCGGAGCTGGAATTGAATCCGGTACCTCTGCACTGTGAGGTCGACGCGCTAATCACTGGAACACCACCGGGCAGCCTCCGAGAGAACATGCCAACTGCCATAGTTGCAGCTCTACAGTCTGAACCCGGTGGTTACTCACGTAGTCTGACTTCCAGTCAGTGGTGTGATGTGGGTGCCCCCCTGTCTGGGGGGATCAGACAGGTGGACATTGTACGATATGGAGTGTTATTGTTCCTCTTTTGTGTGTGTCGGGCCGTCTGGAACAGATGAATGCATTTCCATTCATTTCAGTGGGGAAAGATGATTTGAAATCCGAGTATTTTGATTTACGGGTGTGGTCATGGGACAAATTTGACACGTTTCAAAAGCACCACTGTGTTGGAGGAGTTAAGCGAGAACGGGCAGTTGCCAATAGTCTCCTATGCAATAGTGCAGTAATTTTACCAATAGATAGCGCTATTGCTCTCTCATTTCTACTTGTCGTGAGGGATGCACAATTTGAGGCAAGGCTGGCTGAAAAATGAAATAAATTAACACAGTAATTAAATACGTCCTGAAGTATTGAATCATGTCCATATTTATTTACATCAAAGGTATTGGTTTTAATATTTATTTGGATTTGCATTTAATTATGTTGATGTTTACGTGTTTCACTATTTCTATTACTATTTCATTTTATTGCCCTTGTCCTCTGTACATCATGAAAACATGCAAGCTGTCATTTTCGAGCTTGCTTGGGCCCAAGAGAACTCCATCCATCCATCCATCCAGTTTCTGATCTACTTAATCCTCACAAGGGTCGCGGGGCGTGCTGGAGCCTATCCCAGCCATCTTCGGGCAGTAGGCGGGGGACACCCTGAACCAGTTGCCAGCCAATCGCAGGGTACACACAGACAAACAACCATCCACGCTCACACCCACATCTCAGGACAATTTAGAACAGGGGTGGCAAACTCATTTCACATTGTGGGCCACATACGGCCTCGGTAGATGTCAAGTGGGCCGGACCATTAAAAATTCTACCATACTCTGCTATAAATAACCAAAATAATATGTCTTCACTTTCTTTTGATCTAAAGAAGCACAAAAACATTAGGAAAATGTTGAAATTTAATGAACATATCTTTTACAAAAGATTTCATGAAGCACCTTAGATTTCCTTAGACAAATGTGCAATTTACTTTTATCATTCACATATATGCATTGCAACTGATCCCACTAATTGTACAAAGGCACAAAACTTTAACAAGTAATTGGTATTGAAAAATGTAGTAATGCATTTTAAGATTAAACGAGATTTATTAAGAGAGCAATTTTTAAACCATTTACACATGTGCATATAAAATCTAAATTTAATCCCTGCCTACACCTTACAAACTAAAGAGAGCACTATTAAATGTGTAAAGACTAAAGTATTCACATGTCCTTGATAGCGTCTGTTGTGTTGGGTCTGTCTCAGTGACAGACTGAGACTGCGGTTGTCTCCTTCCCTGATCAAAACAATTTTATCTTCTACTCTGATCAAAACAGTGCGTTTCCTAGCGGATACTCCACGAATTGCACCTTATTAAAAATATTAATTCCGAGTCTTTTATGCATTTTTTTCACTTAAAAATGATACTGTGGGCCTGATCGAACCTCCTTGGGGGCTGGTTCCGGCCCGCAGGCTGTATGTTTGCCCTCCCCTTGATTTAGAGTGTTCAATCAGCCTGCCGTGCATGTTTTTGGAATTTCCGAGGAAACAAGGAGGCCGGAGCTGGAATTGAATCCGGTACCTCTGCACTGTGAGGTCGACGCGCTAATCACTGGAACACCACCGGGCAGCCTCCGAGAGAACTCAGAGAACATAATGTTTGGGTCTGTACTTCCACCTTGTGGACAACTACTGTATATTATTGCAACTGACATAGTTGCAGCTCTACAGTCTGAACCCGGTGGTTACTCACGTAGTCTGACTTCCAGTCAGTGGTGTGATGTGGGTGCCCCCCTGTCTGGGGGGATCAGACAGGTGGACATTGTACCAGAGTGCGAATAAGGACAATCATTTCCGATCTGGCCAGTCTTGTTATTTATGTGAAAAGTGAGGATGTCAAAAAATGAGGGGGTTGGGACACTCAAATTGTCATGTGTAATAAATTGGTTTTATACAGACGTTATCTCAATCTGCAAAGGGTGCAAAAATATTGACCCCTCGACACTCCTTCAAACTTTGACGTGCAGTAGCTCCCCTTCAGTGTAATAGAACAGACCAAGCAGACATTGGACAGGATCAATGGGATTATGAACAGATTCAAACAGTAGTCAGTGTTAGCACAAAAATTCCTCTGCACAAAAACTCCTCTGCCAAAAAGTCAGGAAAACCCTACTAGAACATCTGAACTTTTCCAGGCTGACTCCGAAATACTTTGATGGGTGGCAGTTGTGTGATAGCGCCCACTGAACCGTGAATTTCAATGTGGATGGCTAATTCGGAACACAACCAAATCTCAGCTCCAGGAGCAATGTGCACAGAGGCAGAGAAGGCACTGAGACCACTGGAGCAGTTTGCTCACGAAGACTGAGCCATAATACCCTTCGACAGCTGCATAATTCTTCATCGACCCTTCTAGAAATGGGGTGACTGCAGAGATTCCCTCCAAAGGGTGTGCAACTAAATATTAACACTATAATGCCAAATCTATCACATATACGACAAGACATTTTGAGCTGTCTGTTTCTTTTTTTCCCCCTTAAAAACCTGATGTATGATGGCTTTCCAGTGACCTTGCAAGATGGCCATAATTGAGAAAAGAGAGACACTTGATTTTGAAGAATGACTTATGAAGAGGTTAAGCGAAGTAAAAGTTGAAAGATTTTACTGAGACAAGATCATGTACAGTTAGTGGGCGGATACAATGTGAAATTACTCAGTATTTTTTAATAAGTGTTAAACCGGATTAAAAGTCTTTGTATACATTTTGAAACATCAGGTGTGTAAAGTCATGAAACTCTGGATCAGAACAGTCAATTGTTATTTTTATATTAGGGGTGGGTTAAAAATGTTATAAAATCTTGATTTTTCAATTTATGAAATGTTTAAATGATATAATTTGGTCCAATAACAGCAAAAAAAAAAAAAAAACAAAAAGACATGCAACTTGGTGTATTATGAGTTAGGTGTTGCTCTGGTGTATCTGCTAGTACATTACTTTTGCTTTCTGATTTTCACAAATAAAGATCACAAATTGCAGAACAAAATACACAATAACCTGTTGCGTGCGTGTGTGTGTGTGTGTGTGTGTGTGTGTGTGTGTGTGTGTGTGTGTGTGTGTGTGTGTGTGTGTGTTTTGAATG